AAAGAGCCCTAGGACGCCTAGACTTGGCATCTAGACTGGAAGACCTGCGGGCATTAAACAAAGCAGATCCAGCTGCTTGGGGCACGGCATAGAAGGTCGTCACGAAAAAGATTCGCAACCAGGAAAAAACCCGGGAGATCTGCCCAACCGCACCCGCCACTATAGTCTCGAGGCACTGTTACCCCGACACCCACGATTGGAGGTCGTCAACTGCTTACGCAGCACGAAGCTTGTGCAGCAGATGTCGGCAGAGGAAGTGGTAGTGGCAAGCAAAAAACTAGGCGACAAAAAGGCTCCAGGGCCAGATGGGGTGCCAAACAAGGCGCTAAAGTTAGCCATGCTGACGAAACCCGACGCCTTCGCCGAGAAAAACAATATATGTCTTCAGGATGGTGTATTTCCCAAGAGATGGAAGCGAAAGAAATTAATCCTCCTACCGAAAGGGGACAAGCCAATAGAGGAACCCTACTGGACACGGCGGGAAACGTTCTGGAGAGGATCGTGTACAACCGACTACTGAGTGTTGTTTAAGAGAAAGAGGCCTTTCCAAACAGCAATACTGTTTTCGTAAGGCAAGGTCTACGGGCGACGCAATTAAGGCGGTGGTCGATATTGCTGCTTAAGCAATAGAGGGTACCCGATGGAAGTGGGGAGACAAGGAGTATTGCGAGGTGGTTACGTTGGACATCCGCAATGCTTTTAACTCGGCAATCTGGTCTCTCATACTGGTATATGGTCTCAGCAGGAGTCCCACAGGGGTCGGTCTTGGGACCACTCCTGTAGAACATAATGTACGACGAGGTGCTCAGACTACAATTGCCCCAGGGATGCAGAATCACAGGATTCGCAGATGATCTGGCCCTAGTAGTGGTGGGCAAAGAAATAAAAGAAGTAGAAGCGGCAGCGAATGCAGCCATAAGGAACGTGGCCAGCTGGATGCGTGGCGCTAGCCTGGATTTGGCAGGCCACAAACCAGAGGCTGTGCTTATCACAAGCCGCAAGATAGTTGAGTTTGCTAGATTTCAGGTAGACAGCGTTAGTATCGAGTCAAAGGCTTGTAGTGTCCACGTGTATACGGGGGGCAGTCGATGCTGCCTTCTACATGGAGTGTCCACGTCCATTTGTAACCCTCTATGGCGTTTTCGCCCTTAGTGGCTTACGTTGGTCGCGGGGCGTTGGGTTCGGGGGCGCGTACTTCTTGCTTTTGCTCAATTTAGCTCGTCGTGGTCGGGGTTCTTCCTCGCCCAATCTGCCTATCAACACCAATACACTGACATGAAGAATATCAAGTACGCTTCAAAAAAAAAACAAGATCAAATACTATCATAAAATTTATCTTTATTTCCCTATCCTGTAAATAAGTGTTCCGACAAACACCACAAAACTCGGGATCCAATATGCCTAATGGAGGGATCTTGGTGTTAGTTGTCCCTCGTCTCTACCCTCCCTACCATAGCAACCAGAAAATCGTAGATTGCCCCTATGCGAGACTCTAACGCATTAACGCATTTCAACAGAATTCAGCATGGTACTCGACAGACAAGATAATTATTCACCGATTCATATTAAAATATAACAAAATCATTTAATTGAAGCAAGCCGTTGATCTCAAGATACATGATTATATTACAAGCGAATTATCAATTCCCTAAGATTTACCGAAACATTCAAATTCGAATTCATGATTTTAAAAATAATAATATACTGATTTTTGTTCAACAAAATAACTTCAGTTTTCCAACATAACTTACTGAAGAAAACTGTTATCTTACGCTCACGTTGGCAATAGGTTCGAGATCAATGCAATGTCAATCGTAAATATATATATATATACAACAGATATACAAAAAAAATAGTCCTCACTACTCTATATTAACTCACTCATACTTCCATCGTTGCGTGCACTTGGGCCCAATATGACGTCGATGTTGGTGGGTGTGTGTAGGTGTATTATTGTATGGGTATCATTGTTGCCTTTGTACAAAGAAAGTTAATTGTAAGTATATATATAAATATTGACGTGCATATAAATGTCACAACCTTACCCTTGCCAAATATATTCATAGGTCAAAAGGAATATTACTACTGCTGCTTAACTCTAATATCTATCGACTAATTTTTAATTCAATATAATACATTTTGTTCCATGTTTGTTTAGTTGCTTAAATTTACTTTAGCTTCGATCAATGGGAATAGATTAGGTAGACATCCGCTGATCGCAATGTCAAAAATTTAAGTTTAATGTGATGTATGTATGGATGCGTGCTTCGAATTTCGTTCAGATGGCTTCTGTTTTACTAATTGTAGTTGCTTTTATCTTTTAGCTTGTTCGTGCGCTTTACTCTTTGTCAATTCTAATTCTCATTCTCTCAATAAGAGCGACGAAGGTAGCACAAAGGAGAATAAATAATCAATTACACTACGCAACACAGATTTTAAGTCATAATTTCTTGTGGATCTGAATAAACTTGTGACTTTGGTATCCATTTATATAAGTCACTTAACGCCAGACACATTTGATGATCATCAACGAGCAGTCTCGAATGTGGCACTGGAGCACGGTTCCGAAATCTCCTTGGAGTAGATTTACTACCCTTGTCTCCGAGCCAATATATATGCACCAAGAGATTGGTGAAAAGCGGACCAGCGCTTGCGGCAGCACCCCTGCCACGAGGCTGTAAAATTAAACAAGGGTCAAACACCAATCCATTGATACCAGGCTAATATAAAATCACCTGTTTCAATATCTTTCACTACTTAGATTTTACAATACTTTTCCACTCGCACGTCTGCTTTAATACGCTTTCTATTATTTTTATTACTTATTTTAACTTTAGACTTCGTTTTTACACTGTTTAATCTTCTTGACGAAGTACGTCTTTTCGCTTCCAATCTGAACTGAAGACTGTCGCACGCGGTCGCCCGCTCCTTTTATAGACCTAGCTGTAACGGTGATAAAAGCTTTCGCGATCGCTCCTCAGTTTAACTGCATTATCGTATGATCTGCCTACGTGCCAAATCAGACATCAAAAGGAATATGCAAAAGTGTGTGAGCTAAGTGCGAGGGTAGCACATAAAGTTTCTAACAATCAAGAACTGTTCCACTCGGCTACTACAACGCAAATAAATGAACAAGATATTACGAAGAGCTTTTATTTGAAAAATAGACTAGGTGGTATAATTACTTTTTATTTGAATGTCTTTCAGATGATAAACTCCTAGCAATTTGTTATTACTATCGACTAACTTGATAATAAAACGGACTTAGTTTCTTATGAACTTTAGCTGGCAGAAATACTCTTGCTAGTTTCGAGCTGAACTTTTTGCTCGCGTTACTCTGAGCAAAGTTTCGTGCATAAACTGAATCGCCTGCTTTTAACTGCACCCTTCGGCAACGAAGATTATAAATTCTTGCATTAGCTTCGTGCGCCTTATATATATTTTCTTTGGCCTTCTCCCGTGCTAATTGCATGGTGTTTGTACGGCTAATGTAAACATCATCGCTTAATAGATTTAGGTTTCTGAGCAGAGTGTAATCTTTTCCGTTCAGGATCATATTTTGTCCAAAAACAAGGAAATAGGGTGGAAAGCCTGTGCTTCGGTGTAATGTAGCTCTTAATGATGCACTTATTGCATTAAGCTGCACATCCCAATTAGTGTGGTCTTTACCGAGATAAGCTCGGATTGCAGCCAAGACTGACCGGTTCAATCTTTCACTTGCATTAGCTTGCGGCGAGTATATTGCAGTACATTTATGCTCAACTCCAAAGCGAGTTAAAAATGCTTTAAAGAAACTTGATCGGAATTGCGATCCATTGTCGGTAAGAATAGATTCGGGTACACCAAAAGTGTAGAAAATCGAATTCTCGAGATACTCTGTAATTTTCTGTGTTGTAAATTTCTTCAGAGGGCAAAGAAAATGAAACTTTGTGTTGTGATCTACCACGATCAACAACCCTATGTTACCCCTTTTTGTACGAGGATACGGTCCCAACAGGTCGACATATAATCTTTGAAATGGCCTATCTGAGGTCACTGGCTTACCCATTGGTGGCTTAAGGACTATATTTGGGCTCTTGGTAGATCTACAAGTGCTACAGTTAGCAATGTGTGTACGTATCTGGCTCACCATACCTGGCCAAAACAAGTACCTTTTAATTTTCTCTACAGTTTTCCCCATGCCGCAGTGTGCCGAGCTAGGTGGTTCGTGCGCATCGCGTAATACTTCTGGGACTAAACTTGCAGGTACCCACAGTTTCCATGAGTCCTTCTCTTGCGATTCTATGCCAGTGGCAAACTGTGTTCTCTTGTATCACATAATATCCATCAACTTTAGGTCCGGCAACCTAGCTTGGTTCTCTTTTATATACGCAATTAAAGCTAGATATTCTGGTGCCTTAAAACAAGTTGAAGTCAAATCTATTATAGGGCCTTGGTCATCGAATTCTGCTACTTCTTCTTCGTAAGTTCTAGAGAGTGTATCAGCAACGACGTTTTGGGAACCACTTCGGTGCTGGATATCGAATTTGAATCCCTGCAACTTCATAGACCATCTAGCTAGTCGTCCTGACAAATCCTTCTGCTTCATAAGCCATTTAAGAGAAGCATGATCCGTAATTACGGTGAACTCCTGACCTTCTATATATGCTCGAAACTTTTGAATGCCTTTGAGAACAGCGAGACACTCCAGTTCTGTAACTGAGTAGTTACGCTGAGCTCTCGTAAGTTTCGCAGACATATAAGCGATCGGTAACTCTGAATCATCTCGAATTTGCGCTAGTACACAACCAATGCCGTAAGTACATGCATCGCAAATCAGGATAAAAGGTTTCGAAAAATTGGGTGTTATTAAAATAGGTGCGGCAGTCAGGTAGGATTTGAGCATTGCGAAAGCTTCGGTGGCTTCCGGATTCCAATCCAGAGACTTTTGTTTTTGGTTCTGTTAACGGATAAGTGATGGCGGCGTACTTTTCTACGAAACGCCATCCACCAGACCAAAAAGCGACGTAACTGCTTGACCGTTTTCGGCACAGGGAACTCACTGATTGCCTGTATTTTCTCAGGATCCGTTTTGAGTTGCCCGTTTCCGATGATAAACCCGAGGTATCTTATCTCTGTCATGCAGAACTTGGATTTGCTAATATTTATAGTTAGATTTGCTTTCCTCAAACATAACGCAATCTCCTGTAGCAAAATTAGGTGGGAGTCGAAATTATCTGATAACACTAATAAGTCGTCTAAATAAACAAAGACTTGTGTACGCAAATGGGCAGGAATAACTTCATACATAAGGCGACAAAGTGTTTGCGGCGCGTTGCAAAGACCAAATGGCATCACCTTGTACTGGTACAATGGTCGATTGGGTATTGTAAAGGCAGTATATTGCCGTGATTTCTCCTCCAACGGTATTTGCCAGAAGGCATGTTTCATGTCTAATCCGGTAATGAATTTAGCTGGAGGTAACCTACTCAAAATACCATCTATGTGGGGCAAAGGATAGGCATCCTTTTCCGTCACTTTGTTAACCTGTCTTGAGTCTAAACATAAGCGACACTTATCTCCGCGTTTAACCAGAACGCAATTGCTACTCCAGGGGCTGGTAGAAGGTTCTATTACATCTAGAGCTAGCATTTGGTCAATTTCTGCAAACATTAGTTTTTCAATGGCCGGAGAGACTGGCCAGTGGCGTTGCTTAACTGGTGTTGCCGAGCCTATATTAATGGAGTGACTAATCAAATTAGTTCTGCCTAAGCCTTCTTTAGCATACGAGGGAAATCCTCCTATAATGACATCGAGACGGCCCTGTTCCTCTTTAGTTAGAAGATGAAATTTGGGAAGCTCCCTTTGTTCTGCTGGTGCTCCAACATCTAATTCTGATATCTCTGCTTGCCTAGTAATTGTCCCTAACAAGCCAAATTCCCGCCAAAAATTAATACCTAAATATATATCCTGTTTAAGTTCTGGGATAATAAATAACTCGATACTTCTAGTTAACTGTCGATAAGTGATCTGCGTCTGTAATTTAGCAACAATTCTGCTAGCGGTGCCATTTGCTGTGCGAATAGATCCGGTGCATCTCTTAGTCTTACTATTTTTAAGTAATTGTTGAGCTGCTGATCCACCTGCGCAACTAATAGTAGCTCCTGAATCCAAAAGTCCTATATACTCATTCCCTTCGATTTGAACAGAAGTGTATAGTCGTTCATCCGAACTTAGAAAAATAGATGCTATTATATTCCTACGATTTTTACGTACTAATTTCCAAAACGTACGTAATCGTTTTGTAGAACGCTTGGGCTTAGTTATAAATCTAAAGAATCTAAATCAGCAAAAATTCGCTTACGTGCCGAACTATAATTCTGTAGTCTGATATGAAAAGGTAAATCTGAAAAATGTTTAGAATAACTAATCGAATGCTTTTCTCGCTCTGCTATCGTTTTACTATCGGTTTTGTCCTTATCTTTATTTGTAACTTGGGTCGATTTTTCCGACAAGGCCTGAGTATTTGCTGGGGATGTATCTATTTGGTGTTGTGTTGTACATCCCGCTGCCAGTTTCCCGAGGGGTTGCATTTTGAACAGCATGGTTTGAAAACTTCTTTGGCTCCGCAGCCATAACAAAAAATACGACGAATCTCCAGGCAATGGTCAAATTTATGTCCGATTTTATCGCAGTTCCAGCAGACTGGATCTGTCTTAATACGTTTTATTTCTTGAATTTCCGCTTCCGATGGAACAAGCGGCAAATTACCATTGGCTTCGCCTGATACTTCCGAAACATATGACCTTAATGTTCTTCCTTTAAAAGATTTTATGTCACCATAAAATTGCTCGTGTTTTCTCACTTCAACTCTAAGTTGCGATCTATTCTGAATGCTAACGTGGAGAAGTTCATGGTGCAGACTGGGCTTGGAATTGCGAATCAGAAGGTCTACTATCTGCTTTTCTAAGATTCCTTGTTGCAATCTGTCAACTAGGTCTTCTATTGCAAACTGATAGTGGCATCAAAAGACTCACTCTCACCCTGTCGTCTTTTCCCAATCATTTCCCAAATTTCTAAATCGGTGTCAGAGTCTCCAAATCTTCTACGGAACTCTTGACAAAATGTTTCCCAATTAAAGTTTGTATTTGCGCGATGGAACTTCCAAAACCAATCGCTGGCCTTACCATTAAAAAGTAAGTATAAATGGTCATTAAGAAGATGGTAGTCGTTACCCAAATTTTGTTTGGTTAAGGATCGCACTCGGTAAAGAAATTCATCCATACGCATGCCTTGCTTAGTGCCATCGAATTTAATTCGCCAGTTCTGAATGATTCCTGATACTTTTTCCGGATTCACACTAAAGCTTTGGCTGCTTCTCTCTCTGTTAATTCTAGCATCCGCTTCACTCAATCTATGAATCAATGTTTCTGGTCCATGTTCTCTAGGTATTGGTGGGGTTGGATTAGTATCTATCCCATTAGAAGATGGTGGATCACTATTTGAAATCTGCAAATTTGCGAGTTGATTTCGAATAGAGGTCTCAATAGTTTTAGATAAATATGACGTAATATGGTCCATCAACTGAGTTTGCTGAACGTTCATCATATTCTGAATATAATTAGCCATGTCGACTTGAGAGCCAAGAGACATGTTGCTTTGTGTCTGATCAAGGGTCGGTGCTCTATTTGTGGATCTAGTCGTCATCCCTCTCTTAGGAGTAGCTCCTCTTTGTCTATTCCCCATGCCTCTCCTATTTAATGAATTTCGCTTATTTGCTTCTTGTTCTGTAATGCCAGGCATTGAATCAGTTAGGTTCAACTCTGCTGCCAAAGTGTTGTTAGAAAAGCTTAACGCAAGAGTTGTACAATCGGCTGCACATGTAGGGCATGCTGAAGTGTTTTGTAAGAACTCTATCAAACATGTTTTGTGGAATCGGTGCTTACATGGAGTATTAGCAAACAATTGTGACGAAGTCATCACCTCGTTGCAGATTCCACAAAAGGGATCTATCTGCTCTATGGCAGCTGCAATATTTTCTGTACTTCTTTGTACTGCCATTAAAAATGTTACATGCGCTGAACGCTATTCAAAATCAGGAACAAATTAATTCTTTTCTATTTTTTTTTTTCATATATCTAAAGCTGTCTGTCCTTTTCCCTAATGCTAAATACTGTTGAAATAATTAGGCGAAATTGGGTTTCCTTTGTTGTCGTCTATTATATGTAATGATTTCTATTGCTGATTTGGAATCAAGCTTCTCATGATAAATAGGTCAATTTCCGAATAGTTCCAGATAATTGCAGTTCCATACCTTCAAGAGCGCTTAAACCAAATTTATACTATCACAAGGAGTACTAAATATATTTAACGTTGTTGGACTTTTACGAGTCTATTTTGGTCGACCAATCCAATTCATGAATTGTAGTCGCTAATTCCGAAAATAGTTCTTATAATTTCCAACTACGCTTATCTAAAACCCTTTTAATAACTTGAAAACAAATCATATGTAATTTAGTTTGGATAACCAGAGCATTCCGGGGAAATATAATCTCAACTAAACTAAACGATCTTGGGCATTTTTTTTTTGTGCAGTGTAACTCCCAATACTTTGAAAACTAGCTGTAATCGGAGATATAGCCGCGAAATCCAAAAATTATCTAGGATAGTTGCAAATCATACTCTGCCCCTTAGTTGGGCGCCATTTCTTATGTAGTGTCCACGTGTATACGGGGGGCAGTCGATGCTGCCTTCTACATGGAGTGTCCACGTCCATTTGTAACCCTCTATGGCGTTTTCGCCCTTAGTGGCTTACGTTGGTCGCGGGGCGTTGGGTTCGGGGGCGCGTACTTCTTGCTTTTGCTCAATTTAGCTCGTCGTGGTCGGGGTTCTTCCTCGCCCAATCTGCCTATCAACACCAATACACTGACATGAAGAATATCAAGTACGCTTCAAAAAAAACAAGATCAAATACTATCATAAAATTTATCTTTATTTCCCTATCCTGTAAATAAGTGTTCCGACAAACACCACAAAACTCGGGATCCAATATGCCTAATGGAGGGATCTTGGTGTTAGTTGTCCCTCGTCTCTACCCTCCCTACCATAGCAACCAGAAAATCGTAGATTGCCCCTATGCGAGACTCTAACGCATTAACGCATTTCAACAGAATTCAGCATGGTACTCGACAGACAAGATAATTATTCACCGATTCATATTAAAATATAACAAAATCATTTAATTGAAGCAAGCCGTTGATCTCAAGATACATGATTATATTACAAGCGAATTATCAATTCCCTAAGATTTACCGAAACATTCAAATTCGAATTCATGATTTTAAAAATAATAATATACTGATTTTTGTTCAACAAAATAACTTCAGTTTTCCAACATAACTTACTGAAGAAAACTGTTATCTTACGCTCACGTTGGCAATAGGTTCGAGATCAATGCAATGTCAATCGTAAATATATATATATATACAACAGATATACAAAAAAAATAGTCCTCACTACTCTATATTAACTCACTCATACTTCCATCGTTGCGTGCACTTGGGCCCAATATGACGTCGATGTTGGTGGGTGTGTGTAGGTGTATTATTGTATGGGTATCATTGTTGCCTTTGTACAAAGAAAGTTAATTGTAAGTATATATATAAATATTGACGTGCATATAAATGTCACAACCTTACCCTTGCCAAATATATTCATAGGTCAAAAGGAATATTACTACTGCTGCTTAACTCTAATATCTATCGACTAATTTTTAATTCAATATAATACATTTTGTTCCATGTTTGTTTAGTTGCTTAAATTTACTTTAGCTTCGATCAATGGGAATAGATTAGGTAGACATCCGCTGATCGCAATGTCAAAAATTTAAGTTTAATGTGATGTATGTATGGATGCGTGCTTCGAATTTCGTTCAGATGGCTTCTGTTTTACTAATTGTAGTTGCTTTTATCTTTTAGCTTGTTCGTGCGCTTTACTCTTTGTCAATTCTAATTCTCATTCTCTCAATAAGAGCGACGAAGGTAGCACAAAGGAGAATAAATAATCAATTACACTACGCAACACAGATTTTAAGTCATAATTTCTTGTGGATCTGAATAAACTTGTGACTTTGGTATCCATTTATATAAGTCACTTAACGCCAGACACATTTGATGATCATCAACGAGCAGTCTCGAATGTGGCACTGGAGCACGGTTCCGAAATCTCCTTGGAGTAGATTTACTACCCTTGTCTCCGAGCCAATATATATGCACCAAGAGATTGGTGAAAAGCGGACCAGCGCTTGCGGCAGCACCCCTGCCACGAGGCTGTAAAATTAAACAAGGGTCAAACACCAATCCATTGATACCAGGCTAATATAAAATCACCTGTTTCAATATCTTTCACTACTTAGATTTTACAATACTTTTCCACTCGCACGTCTGCTTTAATACGCTTTCTATTATTTTTATTACTTATTTTAACTTTAGACTTCGTTTTTACACTGTTTAATCTTCTTGACGAAGTACGTCTTTTCGCTTCCAATCTGAACTGAAGACTGTCGCACGCGGTCGCCCGCTCCTTTTATAGACCTAGCTGTAACGGTGATAAAAGCTTTCGCGATCGCTCCTCAGTTTAACTGCATTATCGTATGATCTGCCTACGTGCCAAATCAGACATCAAAAGGAATATGCAAAAGTGTGTGAGCTAAGTGCGAGGGTAGCACATAAAGTTTCTAACAATCAAGAACTGTTCCCACTCGGCTACTACAGGCTTCCATCAAGTATCTGGGGGTCATTTCAGACAACAGGCTTAGCTTTCGACCTCACGTAGATTATGTTATCCAGAAAGCAGCCAAATTGCAGGCGGCCCTGTCGAGGATGCTACCCAACATAGGAGGACCTGCAGCAGGTAGACGTGTACACCTCGCGAGAGTTGTAGAGTCCGTGCTGCTCTATGCTGCACCGATATGGGCATCAGCAGATGCAAGCCAGAAAGGCCTCAGAAGGAAAATGTCAGTCCCCTACAGGCTAAGCGCACTCCGCACTATCTCTGGATTCCGGACGGTGTCGGACGAGGCGGCCACAGTATTGGCAGGCATGCTGCCGGTAGACATATTGGCCAAGGAAACGGAGAACATATACATAGCACGAATGGCGACAGGCGACGCCGTCTTAATGGACTTCATCCGACGGTTGAAGAGAGCAACATCAATGGCAACTTGGCAGGAGAGATGGAACACGGCGAACAAACTAATCCCCAATCTGGAGCAATGGACCCGGAACACGTGCTGTACCAATGCTCGAGGTAAAGAGACGCAGTAGGCTCTGTACCTCCATCTGAGGGACTGGTAACGTTCATGCTGGAAGGAGAGGACAACTGGAGAAATATAAGTCAGCTCATAACAGGCATCCAGATGGATCTGAGACGATGCGAAAAGGAGCGACGAATAATGGAGACTGCCTAAAATAAGCAACCCATCCCCACGAAGTAATTATTTGCGGTGATCCCGCGGTGCATGTGGTGTGTGAGTGGGGGAGGTTGAGTTTAGTACGTAGGTGTTGACGGAGTCAGCGAATCGTGCATACGGCTGGCCCGGGCCATCAGTATCTTACGAAGATTTTCACCTCCATGCCGTAAGCAAAAAACAAAGATAAACAAAAAAAAACACACACACATATACATACACATACACATACATGCACACAAACGCACCCACACTCACACATTGATTGTTTACATCGAATGCGGACGCGTTTTTTAACTGCTCTGTATGAAAATAGACAAACCCGTGGATATTCTGCGAAAACTATAGTGAAATTAATGTACGTGCGCAGTGAATTGTGTCTTAGGCCCAATACACCAAAAGGTGCGCGGCGGTACTCACTGCGAAGCCCGTGCAGAACGTTTTTTGGGGCGGCGTTTGTTACTCCACGACCCCAGCGAGGGGAACAGAGGCGTCTCCTCGATGTGTTTTTGTGCGCTTTTGAGAGTTTTACCACTCAAATTTAGTTGCCGTCTCGCGAAGCAATCTGTGCAATTGGTTGCATTCACTCTAACAGCTTATAGTAGTGTTGGCTAGTGCAGTTCACAACCAGCTGATCTGCATTAGAGGACCAGCTGCTAAACTCCGTAGCAAAGACATCAACCAGGCGATTAGCTGTCAAGGACAGCTGGCAGAAGTACAGCATACTTTCAGGCTAACGCTGTTCTTGCTAAGCAGGTAAGCTTTGTTATTAAACAGGCTTAAGTAAAGGTCGCGGAACAGACTAATATCAAACCCCACTGCCGCGGCGGTGCCCATAAAAAACGGGGCTCCGGTGACCGAGTCGGAGCGGTATAACTCCCAGCGATCAAAAGCCTGAGGGAAGCTTATGGCCCCCGAGGGACCCTGTAGAGCCCTGTTAGTTAGAGCAGGTGCCCATATAGGAGAAAAATAGAGGATGAGCTGCAGGCCTTCTTGCGCCGCTCTGCGCTGCAGCGATCACCGCCACACCAGGCGGTCACGCCAGTGCAGCAAAGGGTGGCAGAGTCGTCGCCGACAAAAGCGAGCATTTAGCTGCCAATAACCCTTAGGGGCACATTAGAAAAGATAGGCATAGTCCTAGACGGCTTAACGGCGCTGTTCAGCGTACAACGCCACATTAACGGGCAGATGCGAGATGAGCTCGCGAAGGCAGAGAATCTGCAGAAGATGGCGCACAAGCTCTGCGCGTCTGATACAAAGTGCAACGAGGTGCAAACAACGCCTGCATTAGCCAGACGTTGTGAATCAAACGTGCTAAAGACGCGGCCAGCGAAGCTCTTAGGCCAAAGAGGTGCAAGCACACCGATACGGCCGAGGGACGGCATACCAGAGCAGCGCATGACTCCCTCTCAGAAGGCTTAACACCAGGGTCAGAACCCAACGAGGCAGGCGGTCCACGCGGAACCCAAGCGAGCTTCTGCCAACCCTAACCTGGATGGTCGACAAGGCAGCACACAGAGTTGGACAGCAATCAATAGACGCAAGCGAACGCAGAAGCGTCCCAGAGCCGATGCCATTACAGTCCATGGAGTGGGCGACTGTACGTATGCCGACATGCTCAGGCTCGTGAAGGGCGACACGGCCCTCAACCACCTAAGTGGCGATGTGCAGGGCATTCGCAAGACCGCGAAGGGCGATCTTCACAGGCACCTTTAAATGTCCGGCGTACCGCGAGGCAGTACGGAAAATGAAATGTTACGGTTACTTCATATAAACCTTAACCACTGCATAGCTGCTCAAGCACTCTTAGAGCAGACTGTTAGAGAAATGCGCATCGATATCATCGAGCCCCACCATCGAGAGACCAACTGCCCAAGAATATGGATCGCAGATCAGGATGGAATAGCTGCACTCTGGATATGTGGCGAGCCTTCGACAGCGCTGAAGAATATGAAGTCCTGTACTGGGTTTGTACGAGCACAATACGGCAGCCTGTGGATTCACAGCTGCTACCTGGCCCCGAACATGCAGCTTAGCGAGCTTCAAGCTGCATTAGACGCATTAGTTGACGACGCAAGGGGGCGGAAGGGCATTATTGCTGATGACTTCAACGCCTGGGCAATGGAATGGGGCAGCCAAGCAACTAACGCAAGAGGTCGTGCCCTGTTGGAAAGCTTCGCAGCCCTGGATATAGCCCTGTTAAGCTCCGGCTCGGAAAACACCTTTAGTCGGGGTGGTATCGGATCAATGATTGATCTAACCTTCGCAAGCTTGTCACTTTTCGGCGCAACTAAATGGGAATTAAGCGACACCGACGATGGCCCCACTACACACCAAGTGTCCGCCGGGGTGCCCCAAGGCTCAGTTCTAGGACCCCTCCTCTGGAACATCATGCACGACTGGAACTCCCGATCGATACACGTATTATCGGCTTTATTATGGCTGCTCATAATACAGAAGCGGTGTTAGTCAGCAGAAGATAAAAGGTGGAAACAGCGCACATAAAAGCCGGCAGCGCTGTAATAGAATCAGCGAGGGCGCTAAAGTTCCTGGGTGTCATGCTAGACACAAGGATGTCGTTCAGAGAGCACTTGGAGTATGTGCACAAACAAGCTGCAGAATCCTGTCGAGCGCTATCCAGGATTATGCTTAACACACGGGGACCGAAACAGCAGAGACGCCGTCTTCTTATGACCGTAAATAAAGCGGTAATAATGTACACGTCCCCCATCTGGAGCAGAGCAATGGCTGTTCCTAGCTACAGCCGAGGCGTTAACTCTATATATCGGACGGTATCAGACGAGGCGGCTCTGGTTATCGCCGTGATGGTCCCGCTTGATGAACTGGCAACTGAACCGGTAGTTTGCTATAGAGCTCACAATGAAGCGACAACACAGACGAGTGTTCTTAAAAAGGCAGAGGAATCTTAGAGGACGCCAACCACATCATCTTCGAGTGTGGACGTTTGTCATCGAACAGGCAGGAGCTGGAGGACAGCATGGGCAGACCCATCACGGTGGACAACCTGGTCACGAACATGCTAGAGACAGCAGTAAAGTGGGACGCAACCAGCACCTTTGCAGCAGAAGTCATGCTGGAACTCAGGAGTTTTGAGCGCACCAGACGGAGAACGGAGGAAGACTAGGTAGCAAGAACATGCCTGTGAAGCAATGCTTTGCTGCCGTTCCGCAGGCAATCCGCGCTAACTAACCAATAACTAACCAACATATATCTCCCAACTACAACCTAAGCCTAAAATGTAAATACTTAAGCGTTATTAACAAACAGAATACAAAAAAAAAAACTCACACACACGCACACACATACACAGTTGAGAAGTGAAAGTTTGCGGTCGCGTTTTGTTCGTTTCTCCCATTATTTCCCATCTTGGGCTGCGATGCCTACAAGGAACACAAAACGCGTAAGTACTGGTGTAAACAGAGCGCCAATGCGTACCTGTCAGGGAGCTCCGCTACGTGTCCGACGGTCCTCCGGGTGCATTCGCTCTATCACACTACTCCAACAAAGAGGAAAATGTCGCCAGCCATAAAAAAAATTGCTTTCTCATGAGCGAATGCAATAATCAAACAGATGGTCAACCAAACGGCTGATGGCACTGCTGCAATGTGCAAGGCGATCCAAGCTACGGTACCTAACACGGCGGAAGAAGCGCTGCAGATCTTGGCAGCTCTGTAAAGCGGGAAACATTGCATACCCACAAGGCGCAACACTTAATATTTACTGATATGCAAATAAAGGCATGTTCATAAATAACAGTCACGATTCTCCCAGGGGAAAAGGTATATAAGGTCACGGAGCCGACCAATGGCCAACCCCGCCACGCATGTGGAGTAATTAAAGAGGGCTCTGTTGACCGAGTCGGAGCGGTATAACTCCCAACGGGGGAAATCCTGAGCCACCGCGAGACCCCTGCAGCCACTTGACTGCACCTCGCACAAAACCAAAGTCCTCATAGAAATACGTGACTTACCGGAATTGTCTACCAGCGACGACGTGCTAGGAGCCGTATTTGCTAAAATCGAAGAGG